TGAGTCGCTTTATCATTTCACAGCTTTCAACATCTGTTGAAAGTAGCCATGTCATTTTCGTAGTTGTAATGCGGGCCAGCGAGCCGAGTGAAAACAGAAGGAACCTCAATATCGATATTTAATGAGAATTGCAGTCCTATCGTCAAAATAGCAAAAATGGGCGAATGGTCTGATATCAGTAGTCTCGTGTAGCTTTTTATGCTTCAGCAATTATTAAAAAGTCAGTAGCAGTTAGTAACAATTTAAAGAATTTATTGTTGCACGAGTTTGAAATACTCGGCGTAATAAAGTCATAATCAAGAATTTTCATTAATAAGTTGTTGTGATTTGCACATATTGGCCAGTAGTTGCTCAGCAGCATATTCGGTTTTTCATAGCATTTGTTCGTGGTTGTTTAATAGCCTATATTCTGTATCGTCACGGTGACGCCGAAATAGCACGATTAGTTTTGAATCTGCACCAACTAAAACTTTGCTCACTTGCATGCTGTCAGCAGTTAGTTGCGTTATCTGTGGTCATTAACCGTGCGGTAGGCTCATCAAGCTATTTTCAGAAAGATAAAGCTCGCAGTATTACATACTTAATGCCGAATTCCAGTAACACGTTTATTGGGGTAATATTTTTACCTCTTCTTGAATACTGGTTCAGAAGATGATCACTATAAGGTGGGCGTTTACTTAGATGCATGAGTCTATAACAACTATTGGAGAATCAAAATCCACTGATGTTATGTTACTCTCACATATGTTTGTTGCAACGCACTTGTCGATGCGGTGCCTTCGGAGCAATGAAAATACAGCAATAATATCGTTGTGAATTGCGAATGAACTACTTGAACAAATGGCTCAGATCACTATTTCACTTACATTTGAAACAAAATAACCATGGTATTTAAATAGAATTAAATGTTATACAGTCAGATAAACGATATCATGAAATAATGGAAGTACATCGTCAGCATGAATATCATAAATATAGTTTTGTAAAATCATATCACTGACATTGGATATCAGTTCAAAACATGAATATTTGAAATATAAATCTGAGTTGTTTCGGTCATTGGTTCTTGCGGTTATGCATTAAAACAATGCCCCAGAACAATATCTTCATGGCGTGTAAACAGCCAGGTTTGTTTCTTCGTACAACGTCACAACTTTTACTTGAATTTGTGCGTACAAATGTTATGTTTGCGCGGCAAAATACCAAGCATCGTTGAAGTTTGATCGTCATGTTTTGAGTTCACCATGATTTTGAGCCGCCATAGAGAATTCAATGAAGCGTTCAGTGCTTAGAATTCGCAAAATACATGAATTGTTTAACATTGTACCGAACATACAACATAATATGGTTGGGAAAGCTAATAACTGCTCATCAGAATCTTGATTGCTGTAGCTCTTCACGTCTCGTTGCCTTACCGTTGGTATGCATAAGTGCCAATAGTTTTAATAAGAGTGTCATTTTTCAAATAAAGATTTTCAAATTATAGAGCGTATCAAATCATCAATTGGGTGTCTCTTATAGTTTATAGTGTACATAATGTTGTTAGAAAAGTCATTGTAATACAGAAAATTATAGTTCTTAACATCATTTTTAATAAATATGTCTGAATGATTGTTTGCGCTGTCACCGTTCCAATATATCTATTAATTTTGAAGAGTAGTTGCGTAAGAATGTCCGATATCAATCAGCTCATTTCATCAAAATATCTTCAAAGTTAATGTCCGAAGCCACTATAATAAATCTGGTTTGTAATTGTTGCTTAGTAAAGATATGATGTTAGTATAATATAAATTAATAATATTATTACATGGTTGTCAGTAACAGCTTTAGTATTCACAATGGTAACAGGTAATAAATTCTGTGTTCACCATGGCCTTTTCAGCAGACATAGAATTGAAGTTCAGTCGCTTCAGCTTTGAACACAGGTATTTAACACCTTTTGCTGTTTGAACATCATAAAATAAGTTTCTTGCTTAATATGCAAATAATAGGCGGTTAACACAGTGTTAATTACTGTAATATTGGTACAGCGCAGTTTTTACAGCCTGTAATTAAAATGTTGTTGTTCACTGTGTAAGAGTCACTAGTATATTGAATTAGTAATATATCACAGACGGTTCTCGTTCATGGGGTCACGGATGAAAATATTTTCAGACAGTTGGGTGTCACCGGTGACCCTCGAGTTTGCATGGTTGCAACCCATTACAATATACCATAAATAATAATATTACCTATGTTGACTCGCAAACTCAGGGTCACGCATACCCAACCGTCCTGAAAGTATTTTCATTCCATTATTTATAGACAGGTGTCACCGGTGACACCCGCCAATATTATTAATGAAACGTTCACCTATCTGACAATCGACCGATACCAAAATTGTCTACTAGGTGTCACCACAAGTGGATTTAATAACATTTTAATTTATAAACGCTATGAACAGAACAGCAAAAACGGCGCTCGTCGCCAACGTGTTAAATAATCATACATTTTGATAATTAATTTTGTGTTAATTTTTTGTACCTATTTATTTATATTAAATAGGAAACTTATTTTATGAATGTTCCAAAACATAAACCAAAAGGTGTGTTATACCAAAAGTACCACAATACTGTGACAAAACTGCGCAAGAACGACCTTTGGAGTTACCCTAAGACTTCAATTAAAGATTCAACTGCTTCCAGTTCTATTGCTAATTTTAACCAACCTATATCTCCTCCTTTGAAAATTTATGGTAAGTTTTTAAAATTTATTTTTATATGTCAATGTTACCATTTATTAGTAGATTACTAAAAATATTTGATAATCTACAACCAACCATGTATTATAATATTATTAATTTGTAATTATATAACATCATATGCTTTATAAATGTATGTATTTATAGACCAGACATTTGTTACTACCAAAAGATGGCTTCAGTTTAACATTGAACCTTTTGAAGATGTTTTGATGAAATGGAGAGAAACAGTTGAATATCGTCGGACATTTCTTACACAATATAATACCAAAATTAATGATATATTGGAACAGTGGCCCATGTACAAACAGTCATTTGGACATAATTTGGTAAAAAAAATGAAAAATGTTAAAATATATTTTTCTATATAACTGTGTAACTTTCTTTAACTTATTAATTTATGTACACTATAAATATAGAAATTTTTTTAGATTGATATTGATTTTGAGTACATCTACTCAGGCAAAGAGAATCTTTTATTTGAAAAATGGCCACTTCTTATTCCTAAACTATTAACTCTTATGCATACTAACATTAAAGATTCAAACAGCAAAGAGTTATTGAAGAAACTTTGTAATCAAAATTCTGAAATTGAATTGGGTTGGTAAACTTATTATAATTATTATGTTGTATGATTAATTTTAATGTTCGTAATTCGTATGTAATTTTTTACAGATTCTAAAAACACTGTTGTATTTGCTTTATTGAATTCTCTAATAATTCCAACTTCTAAATCATATGAAATTGACAAGGTAACAAACTCAAAACGTATTGTCAAAACTTCAATAGCTGATGCCCGAAATTCATTTTTATTACTTTGCACAAACATAAGCAATTTGTACACACAAATTCAAAATAAAGTTGACAGTTATTACGAAAAGAAACAAACCTTACAACCGCTAATTTGCATCATAGGAGATGAGTATATTGATTCTAAAGAATTTTTTGTTTATTATTTTAATACATATTACAAAATTTCCAATATTGTTAAAGCTGTAGATTTATGTTTCAAAATATTTCATGTTTTTAATTTGAAGTATCCAATTGAATCTGAGTTGGTGTGGACATTTTTACAAAACTATATTTATGATATTCATACTGAATTTGATGTAAAAAGTTCTTCCATTATTTCCTTAATGTCAGATTTATCTAATTAACATAACATTTTAATTCTGTATAAGTATAATATGGATTTATTTTGTTTCAAATGTAAATTGAAAATAAATGATCTACAAAAATTATTTGTTCATTTAAAATTAGTTCATTCACTTCGTTCTAATGATGTGTATAAATGTTGTATTTTTAATTGCACTCAGAATTTTACATCATTTCGTTCGTTTGTAAAACATATGAAAACAGAAATTAATAATGTATCAATTAGTTTTAGTTCTCAAATAGTTTGTTATGATAAAAATATTTATGCATCTAAAGGATTAAATACACCTTATAGTGATCTATCTTCTGTTAATTATTCAAAAGAAATTAAAAATGATACCCCCGAAGTAAATATTAATTTACTGCTAGATTCAGCATTAAAATTGTCTCTTAAATACTACGGAAAACTTAATCTTTCTAGAAAACAAGCTATTGAATTGCAGGTTGATATTACAGATCTTATAACTAATACTATTGCTATGCAAATTGAAACAAAAGTTTTAGTTAGTTGTACAGATTCTAAAACTATAAAATCATTAGAAACTATTTCCGAGTTTTGTAAAAGTCCTTTTAGAGATATTGATACAGAATATAAATTTCTTAAACAATTACAAGACAAAAAATTATATGAAAAACCGAATATTGTTACTTTGAATAATACCATTGAAAATATTATTTTAAATCACAATAATACTATTAATGAAAAAAAAATTAAAGGAGTTCTATTACCAATAAAATTTCAATTTAAAAAATATTTTGAGTTGCCAGGTGTTTTAAACTCATTTTTAGCCAATCACAGTTCTTTAAATTCTGTTACTAACTATACAAATTTTTTTAATGGAGAGTTATGGAAGCATAAAATTTCACAGGATTCTGATAAAATAGTTATTCCTTATTTTTTATATTTTGATGACTTAGAGATCAACAACCCTCTTGGATCTCATTCATCATCGATATTAGGGGTTTATTACTGTTTTCCTTCAGCTCCTTTTTATTTACGTTCTAACTTACAAAATATTTTTATAGCTGCACTTTTCAATACAAAAGATGTTAAAGCTGTAGGAAATGATAAGACATTTTTTAAATTAATTGAACAACTAAATGATTTAGAAAGTAATGGCCTTCAATTAACATTGCCAGGAAGAAATGAAAAAATATATTTTTCATTAGGATTAATTGTAGGGGATAATTTGGGCGTTAATAGTGTTTTGGGTTTCTCCAGATCGTTTTCTGCTACTTTCTTTTGTAGATTTTGTCATTCTAATAAAATTAATACAAATATTCTTGCTACTGAAGTTGTTGATTCTCTACGCAATAAGCGTAATTATAAAGAAGATGTCATAAAAAATGATTACAAGCAAACGGGTGTTCATGAAAATTCTGTTTTTAATTTAGTTAATTCATTTCATGTTGTTCAAAATTTTTCAGTAGATTTAATGCATGATATATTTGAAGGCGTTTGTGTTTATGATATGTGCCATATTATTTTAAATTTGATAAAATCAGGTTACTTCAATTTAGAAACTTTAAATAACCGTAAACAACACTTTCAGTATGGGGAGAATGAAATAGGTAACATATCTCCACCTTTAAAAATACTAAATTCAGATAATATGCATATCAAAATGTCAGCTAGAGAAATGCAAACATTTGTACACTTTTTCCCATTACTAGTTGGAGATTTAGTCCCTGAGAATGATCAAATTTGGAAGTTTTTATTAAATTTAATACAAATTATAGATTTACTGTTGTTATCTACATTTGACATTCAAGTTTTATTTAAATTACAAAAGTGTATAGAGTATCATAACTTAAAATATGTAGAACTATTCAATGACAATCTAAAACCCAAACACCACTTTCTTACTCATTACTGTAGCATAATTAAAAAGTATGGTCCATTAAAATTTATTTGGTCTTATAATTTTGAATCCAAACATAAACAATTAAAATCTTATACTAAAAATACAAATTCACGGATAAACGTACCAATTTCACTAGGCATAAAATTTTCTATACATTTTTCTGAATTTCTTCTTAATTTTAATATAAATAATTTTACCAATTATAAGCTAATAGATGATGGATCTCCCATCATCACTTATGAACATTTTAATCAAATAAATGTATTATGTCTTAATGAGTACAGGCATTTGTTACAAAATGCATTATGCTGCAATAAACTTATGTATTTTAATACTAAATACTCATGCAATAATGTTCTTATAACATATGAAAGTGAATTGACTGTATATTTGTTAAAAAAAAATTATATGTTTAGATGAAAACATGGTTTTTATATTTTGTCAAAAAATGGATATTATTTGTTATGTAAATCATTTGGCTTCTTACAAAATAAATAAAATAATTAAAAATGAATATGAATTAAAAAACATAAATGATTTTAAAGGACCTCCTATCCATTTATATAGTATACAAAATAATACAGATACTTATTTTATCAGATTAAAACATTTTTAAAACAGTTTAAATCCTATTAAATATTATACTAAGTCTCATTAATATTACCTATATTGTAAATTTCTTTAATATTTGTTAATTTTGTCAAATAGCTTATGATTTTTAGAATTTAAATTGTGTATGTTATTATTTAAAAATCTGCAAATATTCTATTCATAATTTGTATTATAGTAAATGTTTTATAAGCATTTTATTTTTTTTTTTATTTCTAATTGTAATTAAATATTGTATATCATATTATATTCACTGATTTTACTAATTGAAATGTAATGATGTTTTATTATGCCACAACAGAAATAATATATGCATTTTATTATTTATTATAATATAATAATTTTTATTTGATTTTGTATTCCTTTATTTCTTTGATTTAAAATCATAATTCCTTTATATTTATTGCATAATATTAATATTAATATATTATATTAATGCAATAGTTATTCATTCAATACCGTTAATTGACTTGATTTGACACAAAATGTCGTCCATTCAACACTAGAGTTTTTAGTTTAAAGAAAGGGTAATATTGATTTAACTAGAAAAATATATTAAAATTAATAAAAGGTTTCTTTAAATTAATAATTTCTTCTATTAAATGTACAGCATTTTTTTCATAAATCATTGGAAATTATGTCATTGATTTAAGACACTACGGATTTGAATTGATTATTATTATTTCTTACTTTGAAGATTCAACATTATCATTTTAAGTAAGACTATCTTTAAATTTAATATATTTATACGTATTTTAACCCTTTCACTACCACATTATGTTTTAATTGAAAAAAAAATTTTTTTTTTCACGAATATTATAAATACACTTCATAGATAGCGAATACCAAGTTTCGTAAGGATAGGATAATTTGGTAGAAAGTTATAAGGTTGTACCTTGCAAGGTACACTGGTAGCTAGTACAATAAAACTCATATTTACAAATATCCTTTTTGTATAATGAAGTTATATAGTATAATATTATTAAATACAACAAAACTTAAATAAAAATATTAAGTACAACAAAACTTATTTTTTTCTATGAAATGCAGCAAAACAGTTTTTAGAATTAACAACGAAACATAAATGAATATTACATTTTTCGCACATAACATGCGTTTTACCGTTACAATTGTCCATTTTACACCTCTGTTTTTCACCATAAGTTGGCAAATGCCTATATTATCATAGCGACTTTCATACGGCCTTGATTCTTTGCAGTTTTCTTCTTGATGGAGGTGAGGCGACGGAGTTGAAGCACTAGTTGGTCTTCCTCGAGGTCGTTTTATGTTATCGGATCTTCCTAAATTTATAAGATTATCGGCAAGCCTCATTTTAAAATGCAATAAATCCATTTGTTTTTCTTTTCAACCAACAATTTGCAATCTTCTAAATACTCCAACCATGAATTGCAGATCGCCATATCAATTGAATGAAAACCATACGTAACGTCCACTTTTCGATTTTAAGAAAATTCTATAGTAGGCTATCAGTTGATCAATTTATCCACACCCATGCTCTTATTATAAAGTTGTATTACTGGTCGTTCAACTGTATTATATTCTTAATCCCACCGTTTGACATAATCTACATTTCCAGACGCAATAAAATTTGATGCCATGTAAACAGATTTACTGTCATACCATTTTAACAATGCCATAGTATTTTGTCATTTCGAATTTCGTGTTGCCTTTCCTATGGAAGCAAGCATTTATCATTCATGAATGGGGTTTCGAAAATCTATCAACTCGTATAGTCGACGCTGCAAATATTTTCCGTTTAGCAATATTTCGAACATTATAACTTGCAAAATAATTATCGAAGAATAAAAATGTTTATTTTCTTCGACATGTTCAGTAAGTTGTAAAACCACGGAAGCGCCTAAACCATTTATTTTTAAATGAGGAAAATTCAGTCTCATTGCCTTGGTATATAATAAGTTATATATTACACTCGCCCATAACACGAAAATTTTAATACCCACGGATTTGGTTTCCCCTTGCAATATTGTTTCACATTTAAATGGCCAGTAAATGGAACAATCTGCTCATCAATTGATAGGTTACGCTCTTTTAGTTCTTTACATCTTTTAGAACACAGTCAAACATAGGACGAACTTTTACAAACGATCTTTATTGCCAGTTTGAATTTTCATGTTATCTATAACGTGAAAATTAGACCGAAGGAATAAAAACGATTCCTTGACATATTATTAATAAAACGTTTATTCCAATAAATGTATCCAGTACATCAGAAATTACAAGAAAACGCAAACAACCAGTCAGTATATGTAACGCAATAAAGTTCGAATCTCATATTTATCGGTATTTTTCCATGAGACGATTTTGATGTGCATACATGTTTGTATATAACGCCATGTTTCAAAATCACTATCGGAAAATATCGATGAAATAATGTAGTGGAGGTATATCAATGTATATTGGTAAATCTTGCATAATATCGTCTAACGAAATTTTTGGAGGACAAATGGTTGCAAGACCCAATTTATATCATTTTTGCAGTAACATTC